CAAGGATTGTGACAACATGAATGTGGATAGAAAATGTCGTGGAGCCAAAAACTTCATCTTTCTAAGTGAAAGTAAACAGATCAACATGAATGTGGATAGAAAATGTCGTCGAGCCAAAAACTTCATCTTTTTAAGTGAAAGTAAACAGACGCGCTGAGGCCATGGAATTGATATGAAGGGTTGTGATGACGTGTGACGGTTTGCAAATACGTTTCGAGGTCACGGTCACCTTCGGCATTGTTTAATACTTGCAAAATTCGATAATATTTTATGATAATAAGAAGAGGGCGTATGTAATTTTGATCAAAACATCTGCGTAGTCTAAAATATGTAAGATATTTATCAGCTCATACAATGTGATCACGAGTTCAATTATATGGATATTTAACGATGATATTTAACTGTTTATATTATAAAGAGTGTGTATGATATTTGTAGGAAATATCCTGGTATTCGCCTGAAGAAACATGCGAAAACCATAAAAAATATTTTAAATAATTGTTAGCTCGGCCGAGAATCGAATCATGTATTTTTCGAATAGAAGTCTAGAGCATTACCTGCTCGTTTGCTGGTTCGAATCCTGTTCCGTGCGTAAGTATTATATCCCTGTTATTCTGAGTTATGTTTTATTACGATTGGCCGATTTCATGTGTATGGGTCTTAGTAGATATTTAAAATATTTAGTTTCAGAATCGAATCCTTGAAGGCGGAAGGAAATGAAGCTGGTTACATTATACACCACTTGAGTCCAACCCAGACACCCATATTAAAGATCCATTTTAATAATATTCGTACATCTTCGCAGTTCCTTATATCCCCGACCAAACTTTATATTTATAAAATTCTTAGCCTTTGTACAGGCACAAAGCCAAAGAGACCTTGAATATCGGATAGCTAAAGGCTTGTGTTAGGAACGTGTTTTAAAACTCGTACGAGTTAGAAAATTATAGCGATTAAAGTCCGCAAAGGGCAGTGTATAAAGCAACTGGTGGCTTGGCTTACAGATGTAGGAAGTGACCACACAAATAACGGAAGAGTTATTAGATTAAAAGGAAGTGGAGGGTTACTTATGAGATGTACTTTAAGTGCATTAGAGGCAGGCACTAACTACGGTTGTTGGCACCTCTATATAAGACGATGCAGGTCTACAATTCCTTCTTAGTCGGATGTGTGATTCTAGGAAAACAGTATTTCGTTTCTGCAGTCCAACTTCCAGGACGGGATCTACGCATAGGAAGAAGTTATATGTCTGCTTGTATCTGCATTTCAGCGTCACATGCGTTTTATAGTTTGATTTGCTTCTAGGTAACGTAGTCGCATTTAAAAACAAACATATTAAACATTTAAAGTCCTATGGTAATTATACGTACCTCCTGTTTTAACAATCAAAAACGCTGTGTTTTGTATATATGGATTTCGTACGAATCTCAGAATTTATAGCTACTATTTTCTTAAATACCATTAATCAATTGATCTTTGTAATGGAAAAGTGGTGTGTTTTCTTTGAGGTATGGACTGAATAAAGCTTCCGTTTCAAAGGATCAATTCAGAACGGATACACCATGAAGTGAATAGTGAAATTAGTGAAGTGAGAACACAAGAACACAACGCAGAAAGGGAATTCTTGGAGAAGTTATTATGACAATGAACATGAAGATTAAAGTGGTAATGAACAGTAGAAAATAGGGCGCATGGAGGTTTTGTGTTTATTTCATTAAATATCAAGCGACGAAATTCCTCCAAAATATACACAACACACAATTTTTAAGATAGGTATCGCCATACTAGTAGGGGAGCGAATAATGTGGTTTCATAATTTTTTTATTTTAAATAATATTATTAATGTATTTAAATGGAGGGTGTTGATATAGGAGAGGCATGTACCACGCACGGGGAGGATGAGAAATACATACAAAAACAAAGAATGAGACGTAAGAGTATATGGGAGGGCAATATTTGAAATAATACGGTGTTCCATCTGCTATTGTAGAGTGCAATATAAAATTTGTTCAAAATCTAAAATTCGAGATGAAACATGATGGACGCTCAAAGACGCTATCTCCCCATTGTGACTTCATTTTATGATCTTCGTGCAAAGAACATATAAAATTATGGTAGACATAATCTGAGTTCTGGAAGATAATTCCACACCATTTCCACCTTAAACACTGTAGATCTTGCGTATAAAATTTCAAAATTTGCTTGGGATGGAACTCATGTCTCTGAAATAAGCCGGCGCCTAACCTATCCGACATTGTGAAACCCAGCGCCGTGTTAATTGGTACCACTGTTTGTTAGTGTAACTAGTTCCAGAGAAATGTTATTGTAATTTATTGATTTCTGAAACAAGATGTCTATATTTTACAAATATTTACAAACTAAACATAGTCTGACAGATTAACATCGGGGTCTGTTTATGTTCCATGCCAAGAGTCGGGGTTGCAACCTTATACATCGGTTCCAACTCCTATTTTGAGGAAATTAATCTACATGTGAAACAAAGCTACACTTTCTGGTACCCTACCATTGAAGTAATCAGCTCCTCTTGACTATATTACAAACAACAAGAATAATGGACAGACATATTTTAACTGGTGCGAAGAAAATAAATTTAAATCATTCTTGCGTACAACATTTCAAAATAATAAACAACTTTCTCTTATATCACCAAATGACATACAAACACGAGAACAGAGTCCTCCTTGAAAAACTGAAAGCCACTTAGCTAGTCAAGAAATTCCTCGCTTTTTATAAAATCCGAAGGCTTCTGAGTGTTTCATCCTGATAATATTTGTTAAAGAGTATAAACTATGCAGTTCCTCATTGTGTAATTCATGAAATATACTACTTCTTCCTTTCTTTCTCTTTGGGTAATCATCTCAACGCCTATTCTCAGCCATCCTTAATCTTTTTTTAGACAAACATCCTTAATACGAGTTCAAATAAATGTTACAAAACGCACGTTTTTAAATACGGAAAATGAAATAAACTGTAGCATTATTTACCGTTGTCTTAACTAGGCAAGCTGTTTTAAGTATTTTAGGTACAATCAAAATAAATAATGAAACAACACTCCCATATCGATTCATTTACATTTAGTATATAATTTGATGTCTACGTATATTTTAAAGTAACACCTAAAGTTGGTTGAAAGCGGAAACATTAAATGTTCTGTAATATAAAAGTTAAGTTGTGATGATGGTTCCACTCTTCGTCATTTAAAATTACATACATGGCTCTATATGAATATACAAAGACATGAAGGATCAAACATGTGACCAACTAATAACTTCAGATATAAATTACTGGCTTATGAAGTACTGTTAAGACAATCACAGGAAGAAACTGGGTAAGATTCAGGTTCTCACGGTAACGAATATGAAGATGACTTGTCTTCTGGGCTGTTGCGCAGTCTCCCTGATGATGGAAGCAGTAAGGACCTCTGAAACGTTGGTAAACTTCTACCAGACTATACGGCGCAACAACTCAGAAGATAGCCATCTTTATAGATAGAAATTGTTTAATAAAATATTTTTTCATACACCTTAAGGAGGTTGAAATCCGAAACATTTAGTGCTTTATAATGTTTTAATATATTTGTGTTGACAAAAGACTGTTTATTTGCCAAACTGGGAATTTACCGATTGCGAGACACTCGCATTTCCGCTGAGACATCACATTAGTTTTAATATTGGTCTAAACACTATAGGGTTATGCATATAGCTTACGTAGGAATAATTATTAAAGTTATTGGTGCGATATTTGAGAATTTTGCTTCAGCGGTAATAATGTGTATTTTTGTCTTCTGGGACACAACCCCTTGTGTTGTAATAATGAAATTAGAGCTTCGGCGATCTGCCATTTACTCGTAAATGCCCAATGCAGAAAAGCTGAGGGAAGCGACACTACGTTTAACAGTTAATTGAATTTGATACACATTAAGAGAGATTGAGGTTTTCACGGCGCGGAGTCCGAAGATGGTTGTCTTCTGGGTTGCAGCGGCGTGTAACCTGGTATAAGTAAGCTTCCAGAAGTCAGCCATCTTTATTACACATTACAAGAGAAGTAGTCGTAACATGTATGATATGAGATTTTAAAAGCGTTGAAATTTATTATCGTGATCTATGATCGGAGGCCTTGTAGGAATTTAAATATTTACGGTGAGTATATTTGGCGGTGTACCGTTAAGGCCAAAAAACAGGATGGCAGACCAGTGACAGCGTGTAACGGGGAGACAGTGCCATCCTGCCGGTATTTACCAAAATAAAAGAAAAGACTAATAAATTACATAAAAATATAATTTTGAAAATGAACAAAATTCATTCGGATATCTTTCAAATGTTAACATTTAAAGAGGTTTATCAAACAATATTATATTTACAATAGAAATACGTGCACTATGAGAAAACAAAAAAAAATGACGATCCTAATTCTGTGCATAAACTAGCAGAGGCGTCAAAATATGTTGTATCCTCTTCGCATAGTCTTCATGCAAATGTTTAGATAATGGACGACACTATTATAATCTAAAGCGCAGAGGCGATACATATAGTCTATTTAACGCCGCATTATCAAGTATTAACAGCTTACACCAGTATTTAGACTCAATTTTTATAGTCATTAAAACCTTCCCGAATTCAATGATTATGTTACCCTGTATTTTATTACCGCCTATAAAATTGTATCATAATATTCTCGTGTATTTCTGCATTTTTCGATCAAAATCTACCTCAGGTTGTTTTCATAAGCTTAGTAATTCGATAGAAATATAAAAACAATATGACTATAAAAAACCTGAAGATATTTATCGAAATGCATTAAAATACACAAGAATATTATAACCTGTGTACACTGTAATAACATACACACAAAGATACTGTACTAGATTACGAGGTCTCGTAATGTAGTTGTTAAAATAGCATCAAAAACAGGCAAAATATGAAAAATGATTACAGAATCCTGTATATTTAAAACAACTGTGGATGTTCACTGTAGCCTACCTTCTAGGCTCTTGTTACGAGAGAGCAATGCGAGCAGAACGTCAGGGTTTGGAGGCCCGCTCACCTCTCCAGGATCTAAGGGACGATGTAGATGTGGCGGAGGCGGTGGTGGTGGCGGCCTGCTCCCCAAATGCTGAAGTGGAGGAGGGCCTCCGACTAAAGCCGCCATGGCTGGCCCAGGAGGCGGCAGACCGTGAGGCGGCAACCCTGGGGGAGGCCCCTGCACGGCGGCCGACATAGAGAGGTCCAGACCTGGCGGAGACAACGTGGTGACGGGCAGATTCGAACCCGGGACACAGCAATACCAAGTTTGTCTCTCTGGCTGGTCGATGTCAGAGCCACAGCACAGGTTTGTGTTTCAGTTTTGTCTGAACACTCACTTCTGTGATGTTTGTAGCACACGTCAGATTTTATAAATATGTTTAAACCGTAAGATCACTGACAACGGGAAGTTGTTCGAAGCTAAAACGTATTCATTTATGATTAAGAAATTTAAGTTACTGTCCTCACCTTTCAATCATGTCCTATCTACATTCGTGTCTTAAGTCTTCATAGTTTTAAAGATAAATAAGAATGTATACTACTTTTACGTGATTTTATTATAATTCACGTCTGCATTATGAAAAATCTTTGAAACTAATGTCTGTTCATTTCAAGTTGCTGTCCCACACGTGTTTCTGTCAAACTAATTAAATTAAAATTTTTGACAATCTTTCAAACCTATCTTATTTTCGTGCTCAGTAGTTAAACATTTGTGCTAGATTCGTCACAAACTTATCTCGCACATCTGATATACAACCCGAGGGATGTAAAACTTTAAGAAAGTCTCCTCAATTGATTCAGAAAACTCGTTAGTAAAACGGATAGATATTTTACTCATATATTTCAATTTTTGTCGGCACGGATCGAAATGCTAAAATGTGGCATATTTACCAAATTGAACAGAGCGTCTAAAGGGACGTCACCGGTGTGAAATCTTGCATTTTGTTCTGCTGAACGTGAAGGGAAGTCTGAACGTTCGAAACCTAGTTTTCAGCATCACAATTATTCAAGTTAAAAACAACAAAACTGTGACATGTAACGAGAAACATACTCCTGTTCTTTGTTTGACCATTCGCACAGCATTACAATGATATCTCCACGAAATATGTTCTTTATAAGGAAGAAAAACCTGTCTTGTCAATTTAAAAGCCATTTGCACACGCCATTAATTGAAGTAAATGTTTTAAAACATGCTTCATTATTATTCTTTAAAACGCCGAATATTATACATATCACGTGTTATAGGCCACACGACACAATTTTTAGTATTTCGATTTGTTTTAAAAAGTTCCAGTACACTTGTTCACACTTCTTCTCAAGTACACACGAACCAACGATATTACATATTGCAAATTGCATACATTCCAACATGCTCGACGCTTCTCATTTGTTTAAGTATTGTTGAGGGGATGGTGGACGCCATGTCACTGGTTGCCCCCTGCAGTGGCACACGCTAGCTCCAACTGCGATCCATACTGTTTCACCAGCTCCTACGAGCTCTGCTTCCCTCTCGACGCGTGCTATGTGTGATACCTAGCCTTCAGGCGTTCTCTCACTACATCACATCTTGATCCACGTGAGTAACAGTTGCTGTGAAACAAAACATCTCTCTCTTGGCAGCACAACACAGTTTATTATGTTATAATTTGTCTTTTAAGAGATCTCAATGGTACTATGGATTAAAGTCAATGTGTATGCAAATTGTTACTTAGGTGCGTCATCAAGAGTTTTAAAATAAGCAAGAGAGAGGGTTGTTAAAAATGAGACTTCCCACGAGTTCGTTTTTATTTTATTACAGAAAAAAGGGGGTGAAACGAGACTACAGCTGGTAACTGCGAATCTACTTAGTGGTTGGCATATACCGCTGAGTGCCTTAAATTCTTAACTGTTACTGTTATGACAAATTTCTCAAAACTTTATAGCAAAAGTGTTTAGAAAAACCGACTTAATCTTAATATATTTCTCTCATAAGAAACTGAGGATTTCAAAGGATACATTTTATTGAATGAAAGGCAGAAATAAAAGAATATATCATGGAACAAGACGAAATTAGGCAGTGAACTTCTCTGTAAACTTGATGAAGGGAGTTTACCTGTTTTATTGACAGTCGAAACTACAATAGATGCACTAACTGAAGAGCCTAGATCAAAGAATCGAACGTAAAGTTGACTACAGCACACAAAAACAAACTGAAGACATAACAAATCATCACGAACTGACAAAACGGTGACAACGCTTGGATATTAAGTGGCATGTCCAGGAAGATAAAAACACGTAAGTGTTTCATGGAAATGCAACAACTAAAACAACAGTTTGTACGATGTCACGTGCTTATATCTCGAAGGCAACTAATATTAAGTCCACTATGTTGTGTCCTAAGGTCTGTAGAACCCAGCCACACCGCTTTAATTTGGCTAAGTGCAATCTCGTGATTCAACCCTCCAGCACACAATAAAAAGTCTTCTTCATCCACCGCCTCCCCCGCTACCAGAGCCGCCATTATTGACCATCAGTCTTGATTAGCCACTCGTGGGGTCGTGACGTCGATTCCCGGACATGCGCGATGACGGTCTAGGGGGTGATACCAACCAATCGCTCGAGTTCTCTCATGCTTCCTCCCCTCCACAGTGGTTAAAAGACTGTCTCACCCCTGTGACAGGGTGGAGGAATGTAGACATCCCTCCCTCAGGGGTGTACAATTTGAAGGATAATGGATTTGACTCTGTGATCTTACTAAAATGTCCGTGTGTTTAAAAAATAGTTTCCTGATTTGAAGTATTTATATCTCTAACGAGATTGATGTTTTTTAAGATATTGTAGCATCAAAAACTATTAATAATACTCATTTAATTACGCTTGTCAATATGGAACCAATACCTTATAAAATTCGTTTATTTTAAAAAAAGAACTACATATTGAAATACATGGACATACAACAAATTTGTTGTACGCATGTATGCAAATGGAAACTAGTATTTTAGTCTAACGAAAGATAGGAAACTGACAATGTTTGAGAACAGATGCTGAAGTGAATATTTGAACTTCAGAATAATAAATACGTACTGAGGAGAGAAAATACATAATAATGAACTTGATTATTTGTAAATTCACCTGGTGTCCTTAGAGGAATGAAGAAAGATAGAAATAAAATATTTAATTACATGTACGAGAAAAAAGACACTTGTAAATCTTGATAAAGAGAAATAAGTTGGAAAAAAATGACAAAATGAAGATAATATTAATATATATTACAGAAATGTTTTCTGAAAACATTAACTTAAATAAAACATTGCTAGAAGTCTCGTAAAGTTAACAAATAATTGCACTTTAATGTATAAACAATTGACACGTGATATCACGTCCTGCCGTTTATAACACTTGAATTAGTGTTAAATAACAATAATTAACTATATATACGTAAGCCTCTTTCCTTCAGTAAACTAGTAATTAACACTTGTCCTCTGTGTACAAAAAGAAAGATGTTGTACAAGATTATTATAATAAAAAATTGTCGTTTTGGTCAACTCAATGAGAACACATCTTTAAACAATTATGTGCCTATCATAATAAATTATTTCAGTACAGTTTATTTTAAGTAGCACACAGTCGAAGAATGGATACTATTGTTAATCCCCGATGCAGAGGCTTTTTTAAATAATACTGAAGCACTCAGCCCGTACCGCAAATTAAACACAACACTTCTCCATTACAAAGATAAAAAGGTTAATGCTCTTCAAGAAAATAATCCTCGTTCACAGCGAGAATCAAACAAACACACAAATATTAAATTTAGAGTTGCTAATTGTTGAAGCAATTGGTACATATAGTTAACTTATAGAATATGATCGTAAAGATTTGTTACAATGGCTGTTTTATTACGCCGCGATTGTGATGGACTCTTTACTGTTTGATCACGACTTTTCTGGAGGGACTACTTCTAGGCGACTGGTTATCATGAAACTAACACAGCACTGACATCGACGCATAAAATAAAATAAAATAAATACAATTTCTCTCAGTGGCATAACTACCATGTTCACGAAGGTGGGCGGTACATTCACCTACCGAAACGTCTTTTATATTAAATATAATCACATCTTATACAACACAACATGTATTACTAAGCACCCAAGCGTTCTTCGGTTTCTTTACAGATGAAGGTGAACTTTCAGTTGAAATTTTGATCGGTTTTATATTTTGCTATATCTTCTGTAAAAGACGTTTCGTAAGAGACAGTTGTGGCACAGAGAATAATCCCAATACCTGTGACGGGAATCGAAACCTGGTGCAATTTTGTGGCGGCTACTGTGGTTCACTGTTTATTTAATTGTTAAGTTGGGTAAATTGATCGATAGGCTATGCCCAAAAACTTGCCTAAAACGACATTTATATTGTTCCGACGTGCCTTTTGTAAGTCTTTTAAGAGCCCGGCTTCATCCCATAATATTATTACTGGGCCTGACAAAAACATTTTAAACTTTAACTGTTTCGCTCGTTGTCTTTTGTCTTAATATTCCCTTCATAAAATCACACATGTTGAAATTTGTACTATTTTTTATAAAATACTACTAGACTCCACAATCCAATAAATAAAAATGTTCTACTTATTTCATGTCTTGGGCTATTAATCATTTTTTTTTGTATTATGGGTATGTTCTGAAAGATCATTTTCACGATGCTGCCTTCAAGTTATACGTATTTATTCTGTGATTTAACTGCTGAATAGCCATTTTTAAATTACCTTGATGTTGATCTAGGTTGTGACATCGTGTATACTCGTAGGTAAATACCAAAATTTCGAAAATAACCACTGAAGATGGAGACAGTATATTTCTTCAAAACGTTTGTACCTAATACGTACGAGTCTAAATGGCGTCCCAACCCAGAGAAAGAACCATCAAAAACCTGAAGATGATGCTATGCATCGAAACATGTAGTAAATGAAGGCGCAGTATTGTAACATCGTAGTAACGATGAATAGCGCAAATTTTAAATTTTAACATCTGTAAATAAAGTTTGTGTATAGACCTGAATTATATTATATATTTTAATTATAAAACACAAACATGACGCATTTAAACTTTAATCTTCATTCTTATTGCAGAACGAACCTCCAATCTAAATTACGTGCAAACTATCTTGTCTGAAGGCATTCTAAAATGTCAGTTTGACTGTAAAGGCTGAAAAGTTTGACGTTCGAAGCGGATACTTAAGAATGTAATTCTAGAACTTTACCCTCTGAGCCACACTGCTCAGTCAGTTACCTCTTGTTACGCAGCAACGCAGTGTTACGGAGCCATGTGTAAGTTTCCTGTTAACGGCTTCGAACTCGAACTGAAATGGCCGATGTCTTAAAATTGTACCTCTGTGATGTCGTTGAAATTGAGCGTATTGCATTTAGCCAGGTGTGTAGAAGCATGGTTGCTGGTTCCCAAATAACAATACTCTATGGTTCCTAGAAGCAAATGTTGTTCTGACGATATTAAGGCAGTATTTTTAAATGGTTATGTTTTCAAATATCCATACAATTCTCTCCGAGGACTAATTTTACCTCGCGACAGAAATGACAAAGAAATCTATTATATTTCTTTACCCCAACGACTTAAGAGAGACTGAAATTAGACACATATATTCTAACACCCTGTGGAAATCTTAGATATTCTCAAGCTAAGTTCCTAATTATTTCCGGTTATTCATGCTATTTCATATAACAATTGCGACAGACAGACATGTACTGGTCCACAGAGTGTTATCCTTTCACGCTAGAGTGTCATGCACATATACAAATGAAGATCATTCTAAAGACAGAGACGTAAATAATAAGATGATATTCAAACGGTAAATGGTTAGCGAGAACGCGAACTGATAAATATTTCAAAATATATCCTGCTTTATGGTCATGGTGCTTAATCTTCGAATTCTACAACAATATAAACTTTATCGAACAATTAAGTCTGCACTGAATGCACAAGAAACACATTTTCCTAGTGAGGTAGTTCTGGAATTTTCTCGGAAGGATCGTGTAAGCGGGATTCGAATTTGATACATCAAGCATATACCAAGTACCATAAAGTATCAGATAAATAAAAGTTAAAGACAAATCTGTCATTCTACCCAAGCATCAGACCATGAAAGTATATTCGAGAAGCGGATACATTTTTAACATCAGCACAAGACGAAAGTAAGGTGTTTGAGTTCACGTTTCGGCCACTTTAGCGCCGAGGAGAAAACTTCCAGTACATAACTGAATAGGAGGTAGAGGGGGGGGGGATCCCAGAGCCGGGAATCGAATCCCAGTTGTCTAGCCCATAGTTAGCATCTTCACTGAGATACAGGAGTTCATATCAGCTAGAAATCTTATCATGAGGAACTCCTCGTCTGGGCCAAAGATGTGAAGTTACGAGCTCCTTCGAACACGTTTTAGATGGGTGTGGTGGCGAGGCGATGAAGTTCCGTTATCCCTGTTTCCATGACAACACTTACTTCACCCCGACCACATCGCGAAAATGAACTCGCCCCAGCGCGGCTCAGCCATCGATAAAAGTGGTATTGCCTTTTATTATGGCTATTCGTCAGAAATTGACACACAACCTGTACGTTACAAGTCGGGAGGAACTTCTAAGAGACCTGTTGGATTGCCTTGAACACAGAAACACTAGTTTCAGAAAAGACAGATTAATTTCCTTCCGACACGTGCTAACGTAATTAGAAAAGATGTCTGGATGATAACAGATTACATTCACAGCGAAGTTAACGAATATTACTCTAAAGCTGCTGTTTCGCAGTGCAGAAATTTATGGTCATACGTATATGGTCATATGGTCGTATTGATAATCAAAAATTTATATACTGACACATCCAGTTTAAATTATGTTTTATAAACAGGTCCGTTATTTTTATGCAATTTTAAACAAAATTGGAATATATCTACAAATTTCAGTAGAATTCAAGAGTATCAGATTTCATAAAAATCTCAGAGGTTCTCGACTTGTTGCACGCAGACAGACAAACGGACTGACAGACACGACGACGCTGGTATCGCGTTTTGTAACTTTCCGTTGCAAACGCTACATAGACGGAGAGATACAGAATATAAACAATTAAAAATAAAATGGGGACATTTGGGGGCTGTGCCGCTGGGACTAAGACAGGCGGAAACCGACGCTGTGGTCCTAGGTAAGTAAGCAACCTACGAACTGACTAACTAAAATCTGAATCACGTAAATACGAAAACAATAAAACATTATGTCAATTTTATAATATAAATTTTATTTCAACCCCCATCATGAAGGTTCTATCGAAACAGACAAAAAAAACACTTGTAAACAAATTAAGTCAAAGGTAAACTGTCACTTTGTCTCCGTATGTTCTAAAAGAAATGTTTGCCACATTCAAGTACATAAATGTGTACTTACTTTTCCTGAAGCTTTAGCAATGTTGACTTGAATAACCCTGAGCAGATCCGATAAGACCCAAATCTGAAAATAAAAAGAAACACTGAAATGTGGTTAATGATTCTGAATTTTCTACACTAAACAAATGAATTTCCACGAAGAAAATGGTTTAGAAACGGCTACACAATTCATCCGACTCACTGGTTTAACTACGCCCATCAAAGATACTCAGAAGCTGATAGTGACTAAACTGCTAAAAATACTTCAACATTTTATGGATCTCGATGATTCGTTACACTTCTTATAAAGAGAAACTTCTGGACCCTATCTTCAGCTAGATGCATTCAATATACACACTTAAACCATATTTATTTAAGATTATTCTACTATCTACGACTAGGTCTTCCAAGTGGTCTCTTCAGTTTGGGATTTCCGATTAAAATTTCATATGTATTTCTCATCTCTCCTGAAAACCTCAAATCCTACGGAATAAAAGGCATTAAATGAGATGCTAAGAGAACTTGCACGATAAAGCAGTGTCAGAAATCTGATTTTGTTGTGAAATAATTGGAATCTGTAGTATTGGACCAAAGTTAATTCAATTTAATTCAATTATTTATTATTAGTGTGCTGTATCAACAAATTACAGATACAGCACCGAGATGAGCACACGAACACAATAAAAACATAAAAGGTAAAACAAGCAGAATATAAAATACATGAATACGGAGGACGTTAATACACAAGAAAATTGCAACTGAATATATTAGCATATTTGTAAAAATAATTTAAATAAATTAAGTAAATTATACTATTATAGAATGTGAAGAAGTGTGACAATTTTCTTCTCGAATACGTCCAAGTCCCTGCAGACAACTTTTTATAAATTATGGTGGACTTCCAGTTCTTTAAAATATTTCAGTCTGCTAATAGATAGAAAAGGGTAAATGTGACCACATCACTAGGAATGTTCAGAAAACCCTTTACTTATGGAGAATAATAGTAAAGAAAAAGAGGAAATAATTTCATAAAAAATATATATTAAATAACTCTCAACGTTCTACAGATTTCTGCACAAAGCATAGCTTCTAGATTACAGAACAAGCGAGAGACGATCTACATATATCACATTATAGCAAGAAGCGTGACGTACCTCCCAGCATGCAATGCGGTTATTGTTACGTGACGTATGACGGATTATTGCAATTGTTGGAGCCGTAGCGTAAGCCATCATAACAGTCTGAAACAAATGAGCAGCAGACGGCGCCTCTGTAATCTATGCCAGTTGGGTGGTGATCATTTCTCACGGTACGGTTTACGTTTGTCATCAGCCATGTTGTATTGATGAAGACAGCAAAGTCGCATAGACGAAAAGTCACCAAAGTTCACTGTAACGTCACATCAAATTGACTTCCTTCCTATCACATTTTCAAGGACTGCAGATCTATTAGGCCTATAAATTCATATTTTTAATAGGAAATCAATCGTGGTCTACGTGAAGGCACTGTTTAACAAAATACTACTATTTTCGTTTGCAACCAACCAACCAGCCAAGTAAATAATTAACAAACAAACTAACAAGCAAACCAATAAATAAAAAACTTAATAACAGCTAAACGGCTTTGGAATCTAAAGTTTTAACACTTTCTATACCAAATACAGACAATGGAGCAAGTTCAATCCAATCCCAAGCCTCTTCTGAAACACCCGAATTATTTGTTTTCTTGTAGAATGACCTAAAGAGATTAGAGTATGTTTCTGCGGTCTTCTGTAAAATGATCGTTAAAACTAGACGATGTAAATGGAATTGAAAAGGATCGACAATTTTTCGTGGAATTATAAAATATCAAATGCAATCAAAATCGGTTTATTGTCGGGTTCTTTCATGTGTACGGACAAATGGGCGCAAGGAGCTATTTTAATAGGCTTTACGAAGGGTTATGAAAACGCCCAAAACGCGTAAACTTAAAAAAAAATTGTATATAACATAATATGGCTTTAATTAATTCTACAATCTCTTTTAAAAACTTTTCGATAACCTGCTTCGTAATCTTAAAAGAAAACCGAATTTCATCTCAGTGTAATGTGGTATCTGAATTAATTAATTAATTAATTAATTTATTTGTAGTCTATTTAACAGCGCTTTTTCAGTAGCTCAGATTATGTAGCGTCGATGGTAACTGAAGTAATAGATTTTTATGATTATTTTATTCATATTCTATTTCTTAATTAACACGATAAAACGCATAAAATTCTGTATAGTTTGTGCTGACAGACGTGAAAATTGAGAATATACAGTCTTGAAGTAATATTATCATAAAGAAACACGTGCCGATCATACAAATTCTTGTTAGGATGGTCGATCCATGAACCGACAACTGAACTCAGAACCTCCTGAATATAAATCAGAAGTAGAAACCACAATATAGGTAACCTGATATATTTTAAAATATTCATAGTATGTGTATGCACTATAATTTGCCAGCAACGTCATTAGCTCAAGGCAAAACAGAACACAGTTGAACAAATAAAATGAAATCAAAACCTCATATTAGGTACGACGTATGTGGAGCTGGCCGGGTGAGTGGTAATTAAGTCAAAACACAAAGTGAGCGCTAATTGAATTCATAATGATTATTGACAACAGTGGGCAAACATCTGAGAGTCGTTGACCGGATTTATTTGGAATGGAAGTAAGATAGCTAATTACGAAGCCATATACATGTGACCATATTCAGTTCAATGCGTGCTTTTCATCCACTTCTCTTCATTGAAAACATTCTGTGCATGTCTCTTGATAAAGCGCTGTACTCTTACAGGTTTCATCCTTATGAGATTTGAGGTTTTCACGGACATACAAATGTGGATTATTGGTCTTCCTGGTTATGACGTCGTATACTCTTGTACGTGGTTAGAAACAATTCGGAGAATATTATCGCGTCCATCTTCAGGATAATCTTATATTTAACCAGAATTTCTCTGTTCCAATTAAAGAAAATGTATTTAAATAAAAATTCTTAATCACGGATAAGCAAAATACTGACAGCGAGTCAGAAGGTACCGACAAATTAAATCCAGCCGAAGACGATGTTCAGATGATATTGGGGAATGTGAGGTTAATATTAAATTCCAATAGCTTGTTTAGCTCCAACGCCACATTTAATAGCTATAGAAATTTCAAATATAACTTAGCATGCTGCTGAACGAAGATATAAAGATTGATTTTGGGCTTGTAGATACAAAACAGAACGTGTAAGAAGTGCATTAAAAATTAAAAAGTTGCCACTAACATGGAACACCAAAATAACGTTTCAAATATGTTAAAACCTCGGAATAATTGCGATGTAGCTTCCTCCATTCTAATCAGAACATTCTGTATAACACTACAGTTTACATCACATGCACTGTACCCACTATTCTATCCTCCGAACAGAAAACATTCCGTTGTAATAAATGCAAGTAACTTTATCCCAAATTATTTTTATATTTATCTGTCGTACTTCGACTAATAACGCTATCCATCATCCCTTTCACACCATGATCGCAAAATTCTGTGGTTCCTGCTATTATTCACCTCGTATCTACGACCAGTGAGTTCAAATTCCACAATAAATAAATTTGAAGGTCTCTGTATCAATTCTAGAAATGGTATTGACGTAAAACGTGGAGGAGAAGAAAGAGTACCATAAGAAAAAATGAAGAAAGTTGAAGAATAAGCGAGATGATAAGCATAAAGAAAAAAGAAAAAAAGATTAATAAAAAAATAAGTTACATATCTTTTATGTCATTATCATGTTTCTACCGTACAGAAAACACTGATTCCTTGCTTGAAATGATCTGACAAACCGTCTGCTCCTTTAAGAATAAAAATTCCTTAATGAATAAGCAAAGTTAGACGAATACAGTTTCATCTATGTGCTTAATTCTACATGTATATTCTTTTTCTGTGTTTAAATACATTATACCAGAATACGAAACGACAGCCTGAGGGGAAAGTCAGAAAATAAACACCACTGCTCCTCGAAAGACGTAAATGAATGAACTCCAGAATTTCCCAAACACAAGACCGCGAGACACACGGACGATATTCTGATTCCCTCTCTAAATTCTCTTACTGGAGGCTCGCTTTGTGTAAATAAAAGTCGGCTTTACATTGAAATGAACTCTGTATATCTTTTGATACGTTTCAAATATTACGGTACAAAGTAATCACATCCAACGGCTGTTTACTGTACCTTTCAATAGTACAAATTTTCTTTTATATCTTGAAAATTATTCACTTAATCAACAGACGCTAAGAATCTTTGCTTTTTCTATTCAGAGAGCTGAGGTTGTATGGCAAGAAGCATCGTCTAATCTGCATTATTTATTCATACTTTAATCTGGCGACCACGATTTATCTTAGTTCCAGACTAGCTCCTTCTCCTCCTTCAAAAGAAA